TGCTTTTTCAGCATCTAGGGAGATTATCATGTGTTTTTTTTTTTTCTTTCAGTTTGTTAATATGGTGGATCACATTGATGGATTTCCATATATTGAACCGACCCTGCATACCTGGGATGAAGCCTACTTGGCCATAGTGGATAATATCTTTGATGTGTTCTTGTATTCGGTTTGCAAGTATTTTGTTAAGTATTTTTGCATCAATGTTCATAAGGGAGATTGGCCTGAAATTCTCTTTCTTTGTTGAGTCTTTGTGAGGTTTAGGTACCAAGGTGACTGTGGCTTCATAGAATGAGTTTGGTAATATTCCTTTTGTTTCTATTTTGTGGAATAGTTTGAAGAGAATTGATGTTAGCTCTTCTTTGAAGGTCTGGTAGAATTCTGCGCTGAAGCCATCTGGTCCTGGGCTGTTTTTGGATGGGAGACTTTTGATGACTGCTTCTATTTCCTTGGGGGATATAGAACTATTTAATTGATTTACCTGGTCCTGACTCAGCTTTGGTAAGTCAAATCAATCAAGAAAATTGTCCATTTCATTTAGATTTTCAAATTTTGTGGCATATAGACTTTTGAAGTAAGTCCTAATGATTGTTTGGATTTCCTCATTGTCTGTAGTTATGTCCCTTTTTCATTTCTGATTTTGTTGATTTGGGTGGTGTCTCTCTGCCTTTTAGTTAGCTTGGCTAAGGGTTTGTCGATCTTGTTGATTTTCTCAAAGAACCAGCTCTTGGTTTCATTGATTCTTTGAATTGTTTTATTTTTTTTCTAATTGATTGATTTCAGCCCTGAGTTTGATTATTTCCAGCTGTCTACTCCTTTTTGGTGTGTCTGCTTCTTCTTTTCCTAGGGTTTTTAAATGGGCCATTAAGTTGCTTGAATGAGCTGTCTCGAATTTCTTCTTGAAGGCACTTAGTGCTATGAACTTTCCTCTTAGCACTGCTTTCATTGTGTCCCACAAGTTTGGGTATGTTGTGTCTTCATTTTCATTGAGTTCTAGGAAGACTTTAATTTCTTTCTTTATTTCTTCCCTGACCCAGTTGTCATTTAGTAACAAGTTGTTCAGTTTCCATGAGTGTGTAGGCTTTTTGCTATTTCTGTTGTTGTTGAAGTCCAGCTTTATTCCATGGTGGTCAGATAGAATACAAGGGATTATTTCAGTCTTCTTATATCTGTTGAGGCTTGCTTTGTGACCAACTTTATGGTCTATTTTGGAGAAGGTTCCATGAGGTGCTGAGAAGAAGGTAAATGCTTTTGTGTTTGGGTGTAAGGTTCTGTAAATGTCTGTGAGGTCCATTTGATTCATGACCTCTGTCAGAGATATTGTTTCTTTGTTTAATTTCTGTTTAGTTGACCTGTCCTTTGTTGAGAGTGGGGTGTTGAAGTCTCCCACTATTAATGTGTGGAGATCTATATGCGGTTTAAATTTTATCAATTTTTTTTTTACAAATGTGGGTGCTCTTATATTTGGGGCATAGATGTTCAGGATTGTGATGTCTTCCTGGTGAAATTTTCCCTTGATGAGTATGAAGTGTCCTTCCCCATCTCTTTTTATTATCCTTCCCCATCTCTTTTTATTAATTTTGGTTGAAAGTCTATTTTATCAGATATTAGAATGGCTACTCCTGCTTGTTTCTTGGGTCCGTTTGCTTGGAAAGTCGTCTTCCAACCCTGTACCCTCAGGTAATGTCTATCATTGTGCCTTAGGTGTGTTTCTTGTATGCAGCAGATTGCTGGGTTTTGTTTACGTATCCATTCTGTTAATCTGTGTCTTTTTACTGGAGAGTTGAGTCCATTGATGTTGAGAGAGATTAATGACCAGTGACTGTTAGATCCTTTGATTTTGATGTTATGTTGGCTGTGTTCATAAGGTTGTGTGCTTGGTTGCTTTTTGTTTTACTGTAGTAAGGTTAATTATTTCCTGTTTTTTCCTGACAGAAGCTAATTTTCTTGGGTTGTATTTTCCCTACCAGTGTTCTCTGTAATGCTGGATTTGTGTGTAGGCATTGTTAAATTTTTTTTTTTTTTTGTCATTGAATATCTTGTTTTCTCCGTCTATGAGGACTGAGAGTTTTGCAGGGTATAGTAGCCTGGGCTGACATCTGTGTTCTCTTAGGGTCTGCATGATATCTGTACAGGCCCTTCTGGCTTTCATAGTCTCTGTTGAAAAGTCAGGTTTGATTCTAATGAGTTTGCCATTATATTTTACTTGGCCTTTTTCCCTTGAAGCTTTTAGTATTTTTTCTTTGTTCTGTATACTTACTGTTTTGATTATTATGTGGCAGGAGGATTTTCTTTTCTGGTCTAATTTGTTGGGTGTTCTGTAGGCCTCATGTATCCTTATTGGCTTCTCCTTTAACTTGGGGAAATTTTCTTCAATGATTTTGTTGAAAATATTTTCTGGGCCTTGGAGAAGGGAGTCTTCTTTTTCCTCTATACCTATTATTCTTAGGTTTTGTCTTTTCATATTGTCTTGGATTTCTTGGACTGTCTGTGTCAGGAATTTTTTGGATTTAACATTTTCTTTGACAGATACATCGATTTCTTCCATTGTATCTTCTACCCTGAGATTCTTTCTTCCATCTCTTGTAGTCTGTTGGTTATGCTTACCTCTGTAGTTCCTGTTTTCTTCCCTAAATTCTTCCTCTCCATTATTTCCTCCATTTGTGTTTTCTTTAATTTTTCCAGTTCTATCTTCAGGTCTTGAGTTGTTTTGTTTACTTCCTTCACCTGTCTGATTGTGTTTTCCTCTTTTTCTTTTAGTTCCTTCAACTCTGTCTCTTTTATTTCTTTCAGTGATTTAATTATTTCTTCTCTGAAGGCCACAAGCTGTTTGGCTGCATCTTCCCATATTTCTTCACGGATGGCCATCATCTGCTTGTCTTTAACTTCCTCCATTTCTTTACGGATAGCCATGATCTGATTGGTTTTATCTTCCTCTAATTCTTTACATATTTTATTTGTTTCCTCTATTATCCTCTTCATCAACATAGATGTAAGGTCATCTTCATGATTTTCTATTATGCTGCGTTGTCCAGGGCTGTTCGCCCCTGGATGGCTGGGTTCTGGAGATGCCATATTGCTCTGTCTTTTGTTGGTTGAGCTTTCACGCTGACCTCTATCCATTGGGCTGTTTTAGGTGTTGGCTGTTAGTTTCTGTGCTTCCTGGAGTCTCGAGGTAGGGAGAATCCTCTTGGCCGGAAGATGATTTTTCCTGAAGGAGTCCTCCTCTGCTTTTTGGTTATGGTCACTGTATGGCCAGTGTTTCTCAGGAATTGCCACTGCTCACCTCAGGTGTATAGCCCTGAGTAGTAGCTGTGGTCTTTGTTAGCCAGGAGGGGATCTCTTACCCATAGAAGTTCTCAAGACAGCTGCCCCACTGCTGGGTTTCTCGTTATAAATTTAGTGAGCTACTGCTGTTGTTACAGTTTTCCAGGTACAGTCCTCTTGAAGAATATGCTGATTCCCTAGCTGTGGGGTTTTCTCCCAACAGGGAAACTCAGTCTGTTATCCATGGGCACACAGTTCTCTCTGGGAAAGTGGGAGATGCACCCAGCAAGTCTCTGGGCCAGAGGCTGAGTGCTCCGCTCTGAGCCTGGAGAATGTGCACTTAGGTTGAGTTGGCGCCTGGAGGCGCCGCTCTGGTCTGGAGGCTGGGTGCCTCACTCTGGACCAGAAGCTGTGTGTACCTGTCTGGGATGGCGGCTGCAGGCACTGCTCTGGTCAGGATGCTGTGGGTGCAGCCCTCTTGAAGGAGCAGGGATTCCCACAGTTTTGTCAGTCTAGCTAGGGATAACTGGTTGATCCTTGGCACAGTATCTGAGGGCTGCTGTAATGGCTCTCTGGCTTTTGTAGGTCTGAGGATGCAGCTGTGTGCCCCAGTGCCCTAGGGGTACTCAATAATGGTGGCTGAGCACAGTGCTCCTGCCTGCATTAGAAAGCTAGAGCCTAGAGTCTGCGTGAATCTAATGCAGGCTGAGCACAGTGCTCCTGTCTGCATTAGAAAGCTAGAGCCTAGAGTCTTTTGGTGCTGGGTGTCCTGAGCGTTAGACCTGATGATCCCCCTGCTGGGGGTTTCCTCCTGCCAGAGACTCTCAGTCTTCGCTTTGGGGACCGCTGTTCTGTCTGGGGTGGCGAGTAGAACCCACAGGCACAAACGTCCCCCCCTGGATTCGCCTTTCTGGCCTTTGGGAGCCTGGGCATCTGCCTAAACTGGATAATTTTCCCAAGACCTTTTCAGGGTGGGGGTGTCGGCCGAGTGCTCTGAGATCAGACCAGCTGTTTCCCTCCCTGTGGGTTTGCACCTGACAGTGAAACGCAGTCTCTGGTGCCCTGGTGCCCTGGGGCCCACAGTTCTATCTGAGGCGGCAAATCAGGTGTGCAGGCAGGGCTCTGTACAGGCGCCTGGGTCCTGGGCTCTGGCTCCGGGCTGGCTCCTGGGGCGCCCGCTGAACCCGAGTCTTTTCCAGGAGATGTCTGGGTGACCTAAGGTCAGTCCCAATCATTTCCTGCTCCGTGGTGTTATCTCTCGACTGGAAAATCCAGTCTGTGATGTTCTGGGCCCACAGTTCAGTCTGAGACAGTGACCAGATCACGCTGGTGTGTAGCTCTAGGCTGGCGACCAAGCATCTGGCGGAACCAGGATCTCTTCCATGGTTTAGCCGGGTGAGTTAAAGCTGATTGAATCCCCCACTGTGGGGTATCCTCTCACCTGTGAAACACAATCACTTGTGTTTTATGGCTGCGAGTTCTGATTGCTGGTCACTCCAATCCTGTTGTGCTACTGCTCAGAATGAAAGTCCTCCCAGCGCTGCCATCTTGCCCCCCCCAACTCTTCTTTTATATTGAGTCATAAGAGTGGGGTCCTTGTCTGTTTCCTTCCTCATTTTATCCTCAGTGGGAGAAACTAATTTATTTTGCAGACTGAGTTCATTTAGTTAATGGCCCTTTTTACTGGTTCCTCAATAAGTTTTGGCCAACCTGAGTCTCTGCTTCCTTTGCAGCAACTGGTAGAACCATGGCAACAACACCTGATGCTGCTTTTGACACTCTCATGAATGGAGTGACCAGCTGGGATCTTCCCGAAGAGCCCATTCCCAGTGAGCTCCTTCTTATTGGGGAGGCAGCCTTCCCAGTGATGGTGAATGACAAGGGCCAGGTGCTCATTGCTGCCTCATTCTATGGCCAAGGCCGTCTTGTGGTAGTATCCCATGAGGGCTACCTGATGCATGCTGGCTTGGCTCCATTTCTTCTCAATGCAGTGAGCTGGCTCTGTCCCTGCCCAGGGGCTCCCACTGCAGTGCATTCTTCCTTGGCATCACTAGTTAACATCCTGGGTGACTCTGGGATAGAGGCCCTGTTTCAGCCTGAACCAGGAGAGGCTCTGGGAGTTTACTGCATTGATGCCTACAATGACACCTTGACTGAGAAGCTGATCCAGTTTGTGAAGCGTGGTGGAGGCTTGCTCATTGGGGGTCAGGCCTGGTATTGGGCCAGTCAACATGGTAGTGACAAGGTGCTGTTCAGTTTCCCTGGGAACCAGGTGACAAGTGTGGCTGGAGTGTATTTCACTGATGTCTATGGGGATAGAGACCGGTTCAAGATCTCTAAGAAGGTACCCAGAATCCCAGTGCACATCAGGTGAGTGTACCATCCCAGCCCCTCATAGATTCTAATTCTTTTAAAATAATGCTGATATCCCTTTTTCAGTGAGTAGCCTATCCAGTTCAAGGTAATTTTTACTGTTTTCTAATTGCTGCAAATAAAAAACATGGTCACTGAAACAGCCACTAAAATGCATCAAGACACACAAAAAAGATGGTCTTCCCAGCCACTGCCTTTTATGGAAAAGCAATCATCCACTTAAGAGAAAAGGTCGACCTATTTGCTATTGCATCTCCGCATGTAACGCCTGAAGCATAGAGTGCTTATCAGTGTCCTAAATACCTCAGAAAACACTGGTCTATCTATGTGAACATCTACAATTGGGCCCAGCCCTATGCTGGACCCTGGGAATGTAGCAGAAATGAAAACAATGTGTGCTACTGCGAAGCCTACATATCAGTGGAAAAATAAGCAGGTAAGCAAACCAATAGATAAGAATGACAGCAGATGTTGATAAGAGCCACATGAAGAGAGGAAAGTATGATGTGAGGTATCAGAACAAGAGGAGAGTAAAGGCTGTTTAACCACTTCAGGGAAAGCATAATAACCAAGTTTGGTTGGAATTCTTTGGTGCTCCAAACAAAAGAAATTTAACATACAGAACCATTCTTCAGGGGGAAGAATATTAGAAACCCATGTAGGTCTGGACCTCAGGTCAAATAGTTGAACAGATTGAGGGAAATGGTGGCATTTCTGGGGCTCAAGTGTGGTAGACAGCTTGTAGATACTGGACCCATGATCAGTCTACCAAACAGAAGTAAGACCGGAGATGAGAGGTCAGTCTGATGTTAGCTGGAGTCCTGGAGAAGACATGGTGCTCAGCAGAGATAACATCTGAAGTAGCCACTGATCTTAGGACATTCTTTTTTCCTGCTTCACTCTGCCTCCCCTGAGAGGAACTCAGCAGAATTTTGGATAAAGGAGCACACAGACATGGATCTGATTTGCTCTACGTTGGCTTTGATTTTATAGCCAAGACAAGTTCAGGCCTGTGGGACAGCCCCCTGTTTTTGTAAATCATGTTTTCCAGGAGCACAGCCATGATCATGTATTCCCAAATGCAACATAGGAGAGGGCAGAGTATAGACAATGGCCATGAGTGCCAAGGAGCAAATGAGCAACTTGGAAAGCACCATTTGAAAAGACACCAGAATAAGGAAATGGGTTGTGCTAGCAACTCTGGGGAGCGGGAAAACCTTAAGCAGAAGCCAGATTTGCATATTCCAGGAACGTTGAAGAACCCAGAGTGCTTGGAGATGTGTAAATGAAGGTTGCACTGCCAGTTCATCTCAGAACTGTGTCCATGGATAGAACAGCAGATATTTTAGTTGTGAGATGTAAAGACAGGTTGGAATGTAGAGAGAAGATTGACATGATGCAGCCATTTCAAAAGGAACCCTATAGTTGTTGAATAGTGGGAAGGTGCAAAGGCAAGGAGGCCACCCATAGAAGGCCTGAAATAGACCATGTGAGAAATGCCAATGACCTGCCTAGGATGATGGTAGCAGAGCCACTGGGAAGAGATATAGTTTTTGATGTGCTCCCAAGGCAGAATCCAGCAGTCTGGGTCAATGGACTGGATATGGAGCAAGAAACGGAAAAGAGGACTTGATATTTTTGCTCATTGTGATTAAAAATGATGTCATTTACTAAGACAAGAGGGACCAGGAGTTTAATTTTAGATTTTGGGGTTTTGAGATATTAAGGACTTATGCTTTTTCCTCATGTAAAGGATTCACCATAGTGGATTCTGAGTTTATGTTTCTTTTGAAGCATGAAACCCAGTTTTAGAATTGTGGCAGTGTCTCCACAATGTCCTCATTTCCACTGTGGTTTGTTGCTCTTACCTTCTGTCACAAGATGGCCAGCACTGTTCCAGGCTCTGTAATCACACCCAGGCAATGATTCCTGGAGCAGACACACTAGCTGGGTCTATCAGTTTTTTTAAACTTACTAAGATAATCTGTTTTACTTAATGGTCCTGTCCATGAAATGGATCTCCATTGATACTTTAGTGAACAAAACTTAATCAGGTGGTCAAAATGTAACCACCAGGGGATCCGAGGATATTTTAAAATGGGCACCTCTGAAGAAATTAAAATCCTGCCCCACAGAAGAAAGTGAATGTCGGTATGGAGTGAGCAGTTAGCAGTGCCCTGGGCCCTCAGCCCTAGGGAAGGTACTGAGATTCCTTCCCTACAGAGAAGGTGGGAGAGGCAGAGATAACCAGGCACACAGAGATGGATCTGATTTGCTTTAATCTGGCTTTGATTCCTTGCAGCCACCTGACAAGCTCAGGCCTGCGGGCCAGCCCCCTGCTTTTGTAAATAGTGTTTAACTGGAGCACAGCCATGACATGCTTCCAAATCATAATAGTTCTTTCAGCAGAACCCATGAACCCAAAGAAATGTCTCCAGGCGTTAAATCTGAGCACCATAGTTCTCTCAATTGCCTCAAAGAACTCACCTTTTCAGTAAAGGAGGCCTGTCTCTCTTCATCTCTAGCTACATTTTCCATCTTTGCTACTAGATCTGAAGTTTCCCAGTTTTGTGTTTTCAAGCTTTACTTCCCATGGCACTCAAATACACACAAAAGTAGAAAGAACAGTCCAGTATTTCTCTGGGAAGTTTTGACCCAACCCCAAGAATAGTCACCTCATGGTCAGTCGTACTCATCTGCTACGGGAATAAGTCAGTGGACAAAGGTGGAATAGCAGATGCAATTCAACATCAAAATGTTGAGAGCAGAATTCATTGATCTGAGAGGTTGGCTCCTCTAAGCCCTGAAGCTCAGTCTGTGTGGTCTGAGAGACAGTTCCCATACTGGGGAGTGGGGAGAGGAAGGGGCTGGATGCAGCAGGCCCATAATCAGATATATGCACAGAATTGAGAAGCCAGATTGCCTGCCTTTACCAGCTCCTGACTCAAGCCTTTCAAATTCCATAGAAGGCAGGTTTTTTGAAGCTTGTTTTATAGCCCTGATATGGAGGTCAGTAGTTTTCCTTTAATCTAAAGCCTCACCTCAGATTATTTTGAAACAGCACATGGGTACATACCATCTTCATTGATATATATTTCTAAAGACACGAATTCTTGAGAACATAACCACAGAGGTGTCACCGATGCCTTCTACAGTCACTGTCAGGCTTCCTTACGACTTGGTGTGAGAGTTTACAGGGCACTCGTGTACTTCCTGTCAAGAGCAGCTGTCAATGATTTCCCGAGGGATTCTGTCCTTTTGTGGGACATATTTACTGGAACTAAGTTGATCAGTGTCTATAGACCTTCCAAGTGATCAAATCTAAGAACTATCTCTCTGTTTTAGGATTAATAATACATCAAAGTGTTCATACTGTTATTTCTCATTTGAATTTGGGACCACAAGGATATTATTGATTCTCCATATTCTCTTGTTGAGATCCATTATGCCCCCATTTTGAAAGACACCATCATAATGAACTACTCGCTTTACCATACTATACACTATAAACAGATGCGAAATTCAAATGACAACAGCAAAATGAGGTGGGTTTGCTGAGTGACAAAGTCTCTGCAGTATTTACTAGCATTACCAAGTTCACTTTGTAGGTTGGATGTCCCAAGAAGAGAGATTTTGCAGGTGGGTTCTCAGTAAGCTGACCTGGACAGGCTAGTGTGTGGGAAGTTCCTAAAAACTGCTCTAAGTGGGGAAGAAGAAAGATGGAGAAGCCAAAGAAGGTAGTCAAACATCGCAAATAATTTTTAGCCATAAACCACAGCAATGATTTTTTTTTTTTCCTCAAAGCACATAGGGTACCTGGAAGCACCAGGAGAACACTTGGAAGCACCTTAATATTTCCTAGGGGTTTATTTGCCTTTGCTATTTAACCTTTTAGAATTGTGCCAGATAGTTCGTAGCTCAAAAATAAAGTTTAAGACCTATGAATGTTCTGTCTCCTTCTCCCCTCCCTGTTTGTTTCCTCCTCCCCTCCCTGTTTAAATTTACTAATCCTTCATTATTTCTTTATATACTTGAGCAGACATACAGATATGTGTCAGTATCCTCCTCTTTCTTTGAGAAAGTAGTGGCACACTCCATTTTCCTCCACTTACTTTTTCCATTCAATAGTATTCTGGATCACCAAGCTGGGTGTGGCTACATAACAGAGTGCCACGACTCCCGGCATGTTCTATTGTTCGTCCATTCGTAGACATCACATACTCCGTTCTTAAGTTCCTTAATGATACACTTCTGAATTTTCAGGATGAATTTTTATTTTCCCAGTATTTTTACTAACACAGATGGGCTTCAGTGAATACTCTGGTAGCCTGGTAGATGTATCTTTGTAACTTTGCGGTGTCCGTGGAACTGGGATGACTGGTTGACAGGAAAAATGAATGTGGAATTTTGTTAGCATTGCCATGTTTCAGATTGGATTCCTAAGAAACTGCCTCAGAGACAGAGATGGGGTACAGGGACCTCATTAAGAAGCATTGTAAAGGCAGAAAAAGAAAACACATGGGCAGGGGCAGAAAGTAAACTATGAAGCATATATTTTGTACATGTTTCTTAGCAATATTGTGACTATTATGTGAAACATGGTAAGATACATTGTCTGCAACGGAAGACTCCATGACTACAGTCATGGAGTGAAGAATTATGTGGTCATTAAAAGTCATATGTTCAGAGACCTTAAAAGAAAAGCAAAATACTCACGATACCATAGACCATATTAAGATACACAATTCTGTTAAAAAAAAAAAAATGGCAAACTCATGGAAATAGTACATATGCAGGTAGGAATTTGAACATTAGAAAACAATGTGATAACAGGTAGTATATAACTTGGATGAGTGATGACTTTTCAACTATAAACATTTAAATCTTCATCAAATTTTCTATAATTACAACATTGAAATTGTATTTTACATAACTATTTTATCAAGGCCCTTAAGATTAAGAAAATGCATCTTGATCACATTTAGGTACCCTCCTTT